AAAAGACATTTTGACACAAAAAAAGACATTTTGGATACGCGACCCTTTTCCAGTTGATTGTTGGGTTGTGCAAAGTCTTCATGTGACACTCTGTGGTTGTCCATGTGTTGAAACCTTGCATGTACGTGACAGTTGAATATTAGTCTCGTGGGAGAGACCGCTCTAAACTCGAGGGAAGCGGATTCGGGTGTGCATGTTCATCCAATGCCGCAACTGCTTCTTCTTGCCGATCTCATTCGTCGATGGCTGTTGCTTGAGCTGTTACTATCGCCACGAAACATCAGCAGCCATCATAGCGTTTGGCCACGCAAAACTCTTGCCACAAAGCAGACGAGCTAGAAGGTGATCACTGCCCAAACTCATCTTGCACAAAGAAAATGCCTTCCGGCGACAAATCATAGGTGGCAAAGGTGCCTTACTCGGCATGAGTCCTTGCAAAGACTCGGTGCAACATGTCACTAAGGGTGGAAGAACCGTGTTCACCTGCTGATGTATGCATGGATGCGCAATGATGTGTATATAAGATAGATATTTGCAAGTATGAATCACCGAATGCATGTGCATCGGCACGCGGACTTCTCTCAATCCATGAGACGGCCATATCTTTCATGGTTGCTGAGACTGTTGGAGGTCAGACGGTCCTGCCCCGCCAGGCAGTGTGCAACACAGGCCACGCAACTCCGGACCTTGGACCTGCATTCAAGAAAGCTTCTCTCGATGTGTGGGGCTCAGGCTTGGGAGTCTTGGGATTTGCAGTGGAGGGATGAGGAGGCTCGCGGACAGCCTGTACGCAGCTTACTTGGGGCTGGGTAGGGGTGTCCACCATGGCAGCACAGCTGCTGTGACGACAGTCTGGAACTCCTGCTAGAGGTGTGCAGTGCGGTTTGTCTGCCATTCTTACTAGTACCATTACTACGTCAAGAAGCTTTGGTATGACTGCTATTGCTGTTTCAATCGGTCCATCAGCCCGCCTTTCGTCCTGACGTTTGCAGAACTTCGCCAGGTAGTCCTTCAGCAGGGGTTGCGTGGATTTCTGACAGTGCACCAAGCACTTCTGTCAATTCGATGGCCATAGTAAGCCGCTGGCGATTCTGAGGTGTACTTATGCTGCAGTGGGAAGACGCGCCTAGACCTTGACCCTATTTGAAGGCCCAGAAAACTTGGCAAGTGGGCTTGTAAGTAGGGTTATATAAAGTTATATAAGAGGAATACTCGAAGTAGGGTTGCCCTGCTTAAAACCTACCCTAAACCCAAAACCTACGTACTAAGTCCCTAGACCCTGAAGCTCCTTGATGCTGATTTGGTCCAGATCTTCCCCTGCACTTGCGAGAGTCTGGTGGAACTGCACCTCTGCGAAGATGTACGGATTAGGGTTTAGGGTTTCTGTCGCTCACTGGGACATGTGGGGTTGCGGCAACGTTGGTACTGGATGCAAGGTGTAGAATGAGAACCTAGAACGTCGGGTTTCTGTTTGCTGCCGATACGCCTATATGACAAGTCTCTAGACACCCTAAGCCCTCTGGTATATCTTGGAATCCTAAACTACAGCTGCATGAGACCCTGAACGAGGCCTTGGGCGATTCGCAGAGGCTGCGAAGGTTGAAGAAGTACAGCAAGACTGTGGCTCCGCTGCAAGCCTCTTTGGGTTTAGGGTCACTGAGAGGCCCAGGGGGCTTAGTCAGTAGGTCAGAAGTAGGGTTATGAGTAGGGTAACCATAATTCCGGTACCTATATAACTCTACTTCGAAAGAACTTGGAGGGTTTTTTGTGCCTCCCGCCTAGCCGACTGGGTCGTACAACGTGAGGGTTTGGGGTTCAAGGCTTCGGCTGTAGAAACGTGGGAACTGCTGCTGGGTGTGGTCCAGACCTGAAGTCTCACGCCTTCCGACCGCGCAATGTACTTCTTGCAGGGTTTAGGGTTTAGGGTTTAGGGTCTCACACCCGGACCGCAGGGCCCCGTTTTAACTGGAAGGCACCCGAAAAAGTGGCACAAAGCTTAGGGTTCCGGGTTTGATGAGAGGATATGCAAGCATGTGTCTGTATGTGCATATATAGACAGATATGTACATGTCTACTTGTTTGTCAGTTACTTATCCATATTTAGATGTATTTTCGGTTATTTGTATGGTGGTATATACATGCCTGCATGCATGCATAGACACATACATACATACATACATACATACATACATACATACATACATCGCTTTCGCTTTCGTAGGCACAGAGTCCGATTCGGGCGCAGCCTATGTACATGCATTAATTGAAGTGAAACAAAAACCAGCAGCCGAAACCCTGCCAAAGTTGGACAACACCTCCTGACTGCCAATGCGCTCCTTGACTGGGGCAAGATTACCCAGTGCCGAAAGTCCAGGGCAGTCAATCTGGGCGGACACAACAAAGGCACGCACACCCTTGGACAAAAGAAAGAAGGTCCCCCGTACAATGTCAGCAAAGAGCCGCAACGAGGCCAGGTTGGGCTCGAGGGACTTGTAACTACGGACGGGTGATGGCACAGACAGGGATGACAGCAGTCCAACAACAGACAACCCGACGATGAGTGAAGCACCACACTGGGCCCATCCCAAGAAGTCGAGAAGCTCAGGCTGTTGCTTGCAGGAGGCATGAGAAAGCCACTGCACTGCTAAATCGCATGGACAACCACCGACAATACGATCAGCAGAAACCAAAATACGTCGCTCCGGTTCGTATGGGCCCGGGGGCGGAAGGCACAGGGAGTCAAAGGAAAGCCATGGCAGAAGGACAGAGGCCTCCCGAAATGTCGCGACGACTCTCAGCGGATCCTTCGTATCAGGGACTAGCCAATCAGCGAAATCGACAGAACATAGGAAGTCCGCGAGTCGACGCTGCCAGTCGATCCAGTGGGCAGCGACATCCAAAGACGAAGCAAGCTCCTCCTCCAACATAGCCTTCCAAGCCTTGGCCGTGGCGGAGAGACGGGACTGTTGCAAACAAGCAGCGCAAAAGGCGGTGCGGGCAGCACAGACGAGGGACTCAAAGGAGGGGTGGTCCTCCGGGTGGCAAAAGATCTCCGACAGTGCAGAAAGGATGCCCTCATGTGCACGCTGCGCTTCAACAACAAAGTGTCCATTGCAAGGGGGCTGCCGAGGTCCACTAGCAACAACAGCAGGCAGCATTACGTCAAGGACCTTCTTAAACCCTTTGCTGTTGCGACCCGGCATAGCAGGCGAAGCCTGATGTCCGTGTACCAAGGAAGCCAAGCAAGCAACCGAATTATCCAAGTGATTGCTCAAGTGGAAAGTCGACGCAAACTGCTTCAAGCAAACAGCACACTGAGAACCGGTAGCGTAGTACCGCGACTCTTTGATTCTGCCATGCCTTTTGAATGCATGGTGACTCCAGTTGCGGAGTGTGGAGAACCGCTGCCCACACACTGCGCATATCTCACACTGAGAGGAGCAAACCAGCGAATCATCCGTAGAGACTGCACCAGCTGACAAAAGGGCACGGAGGAGGAGACCATGAAAATGCTGCACCTCTGCCTGCCACAACTCGACAAGCAGCGCAGTGCGCTGGGCACGCCTAACCAGACGTTTCCATGCCTGCGGGGCCTCGAGGAGGAACACCCTGACCGAAGCCCAATCTGCAAGCTCCGGCCTCGCAGAGCCGTTCAGGGAAGTTTGCGCAGCAAGCCAACTCAAAGAGTCTCGAGCAAGAGGACACCACAGTGAACCATGATGGACAATAGCCCAGAAGTCGGCTGGTGCCACACGCACAAGAATGGCAAGGTGTCGGAGGCGTTCCAAGTGCAAAAGGACAGAAGCGGACGGTAGACGCGCAATCGCAAGGATCTTCTGGGCTCCGAGGTGGCACGCAGCAGTGAAGTCGTATGCTGGACGCAACATCTGCCGGGCCATTGCCAGCAGTGTGTGCTGGACCTTGTCGACAACTGCAGGGAGATCCTGTGACCAAGACCCGGCTCCGTACTGTAGTGTAGACACCACCAAGGAGTGAAAGAGCAAAGCCTTCTCCCGGTGCGACACAACAGGAGAACCAAAAACCTGTCTCTTGTGTTTCCTGAAAGCTTGCCAAGCCTGCGCTACTCGGGAGCGTAGCTCGGGTTCAAGAGACCCAGACCAACGCAGAGTGCCACCTAGGTGCCGATACCTAGGTACAACTCTTACTCTAGCATCAGGCCAGAGCTGGGAACGCAGAGGCAAAGAGGGGTCAGCGTCGCGGAAGATCTCACAACGAAGCTTGCGTGATCCAGCCCCAGCAAAGGACATGAGGATTTCAGTTTTTCCGATGGCCAGATTGGGCTGTAGAAACGCTTCCAAGCAAGCGTCAACCAAAAAGGTCGACGCCTGGCAAACCGTTTCGACCAAGGCATCCGGTGATTCGGCCGAGAGGAGAACCGCAAGATCATCCATCCAGGCAACATCGATAGGTGAAAGGGAGGAGTCCGGAGCAGCCTCGTGGTCGACCTCAAGGTTGCGGAACCATTCCTCACTCCACGGCAGCCTGACCTGAAGACCTTTGCTGGCGAGTTGCCCTCGAATCTTAGCCAAAACCGCAGCGAAAAGAAACGAAAACAGGACGTCCGCCAGCGCGTCTCCAGGACGCGTTCCTGACTCAACGACAGCCAATCCGCTGCCGATCGTAAGCCAGCTATCGGCCTGAAACTCCTTAACGACCTCCGCGGCCCAAGGAGACGCCCCTGCTCCAACCAACAAAGATCCTTCCCTGATGTGTGCCCGGAAGCGATGGAGGCTGTGCGGGGGAAGGTGCAAAGTTTGCATGATGGCAGCAATATGTTCATCGGCCATATCGCCGCCATGCACCAGAGGACGTATCACACGGTGGAACGCCTCACGCAGATCCAGGAACAAGATGGCAACGCTCTTCTTCTGTCTGAGGAAACCAGTCTGAAAATCCCTAGCGGATTGCGCCGCCAGTTGAACGGGAAATCCTGCTCTTCCGCCGACCTGCAAAGGGGACGCCACGGCATCCAGCCATTTGCCGCACTTTTTGCGAAAAGCAGAATGCATGGTCTTCCCTACCACGTTCGAAACCAAAATGCCCCTGTAACTCGAGCAGTCATCTACGGGACCCTTTTGCTTCCAGATCTGCCGAACTGTGCCTCCCTTGAACTGCAAAGGTTCTTGCAAACGGAAAGCAACCTTCATGAGGATAGGGTAGAAAAGTTCCGACATCTGGCCGGGAAACAGATGGAGGAGATCTGCAGGGAAGCCATCATTGCCGCAGGCGCGGTCAAGCTTAGCAGCCCGCATGGCTGCTTCAAGCTCCCATCGCGTGGGAAGATCCTCCCTGGTAACCTGGAGCATCTCGAGGTCAACACCGCCCTGTCTGGCATAACAGCGTGCGATAAGACTTTCCGGTGAGATAGGACCCCCGCTCTCAACAGCACTGAAATGACGAAGCCAGCGGGCGTCGGCTTCGGCAGGCGTCGAGGCCAGATCGCCATTCTCAAGAGTCAAGACGGGAAGCGGCGCAACACCCCGCTGCTTACGCCGTGGGGGGCCAAGCAGAGGTCTTAACTTCTGCACAACATCCTTTGTGCGAGAAGTGGCGGCGTGATTGGCGACTTCTGCCAAGTACTGACGCCTGTCGAGTTGAAGCGATTGACGAAAACAAGGTCGGAGGCGACGCAGCTCTGTGACGGACAAACGCAGAGAATGCAGGTTGCGGAGAAGGACTCCCCAAGTCCTGGCAACAGAAAGACCCAACCCATCAGCACAAAGCCAAGCCCGCCATGCACTCGCGATAAGGAAGGTAGCAAGTTTATGGCTAGCTCTGTGCACCCGTTTGCGCAACCAAACCCGTTGTTGGCGAAAGGCCCAAGTCTTTTCAGAAAAGAACGGGCGTCGGCAGACAGCGCCGCTCACAGGGAAATGCTCAGAAAGGCCCCTGAGAACATGCGAGGCAACGGCATGATAGTGCCGATGGGCATCTATTGTCCAATCCACACGAGGTACACCTTCGCATATGGCATGGATGACCTCTGAAGAGTCAGGACTGCACGCCGCCCGGATGTCAAAGGCACGCTTCCCTGTCTGGAAGGGAAGGCGCGCCTGCAGGTGGACTTCAAATTTAACGCAAACTGCGAAATGGTCAAGTCCTGTTTGACCAAAATCGATCTGATGTAAGACGGACGCCCCACCCCATGGGACATGCCATCCTGCAGGTAAGAGAATAAAGTCGATGCGTGAGACCTGGTTGCCTCCAGGCGCAACCCAAGTATGTCCCGGGCCAATCTGGCAGCCTGTGAATGTGGACGGTACCCAAAGGTCCAGGCCAGAAAGAAGCCTGTAGAAGGGCTCGGGAACGGAAGAGTCGGCCCCATTAACAAGACTACCAACCCTGCCCGGGAGCTCCTGTTCAAGGCGGAGGTTGAGATCCCCCAAGACGACGACTTTGTCTCCATTGGCAAGGACTAATAGCTTGTCAACAAACTGCTTCCACCAAGGAAGTCGGTCAGCACTGTCAGCGGAGGGCGCGTGGCAGGTAGCGAAAACAATGCGCAAGGACCCACGGGTGTATCTGACAACTAACAGGCGTGGTGCCCAGTGCAGTACCCGAAAATGGGCAGGCTCAAAATAGATTGGTCTCTCACCAATCCACCCAAAGGGCACAGTTCTGGCAAACCACAACTCGACTCCATAACAACCCTTGGCGTCTCTGGCGGACAGGTACCGAATATGACTTTGGGAAAGGACAGTGGTTGTATTGCATGCCCTTGTCTCTTGAAGCCCAGCGACGGAGCAACCCAGCGTCTCAAGTTGGGCTCTGACATACGGAGCCCGGTTGGGCAACGCACTGCGTTCATCCTCACAAAGTGATTGAACATTGACAGAGACGAAACACGCATCGATGTGGAAAGCAGCGGTAGGTGCAGCCGGGTCCGTAGCAGCCGCAATCTGCGGGCCAAAAAAGTCTCGTGGCTCAAGTCCGCCGCTAGTCATCGTGGCAACGCCTGTAAAATCAGTGAGGCAGGTGCCTTGCACAGTTGGCCAGTATTGAGGCTGCAGGGTCGCAGCAACAGAAAGCCACAACCAGTCAAGATGGCCCTGAACAGCCCATGTGCACAGCCGTTCATACCTGGCTGGTATAAACGAGTCGCCCAGAGCCTGAGCACCGGCTAGAACGTCAACTAGCTCGTTATACGGGTGTCCAGCATGCCCTTTGACGTGCGAAATAGACCTGGCGGTGAAGCCACCAATGGTTTCAAGAACCTGGGTAAGTGCACGGCACGCGCTAGCAACAGTAATCCCGCTAGAGAAACCGAAGGTACCTCTGGCCTGTCCTGCGGCAACCAAGCAATCACTGTGAAGGGAGCGAGGAATGGCACGGTTGATACCCAGAAGCCAGCAAAGCGCCCAGAACAAGGCAGAGCGCTCGGCGTTGAGGGCAGAATGCTCTGTAACCCCAATGAACCACGGTTGCGCGACCAGCGCGACTTCCCCACGCGCCCATGCAAAAAGGCACGAGCCAATGCTAGAGTGGGCGACAGCAGCAAATGCCCACGCACTTCGCAAGCCATCGAAGGAGCCATCAGTGAAAACCTCAATGCGGGCAATGCCGGCTCCAACCACGTCAGCAGGACTGACATGTGCCTTGAGGGCGTGAACAGTAGCGGGATGAAGTGAGATATGGGGAGGTAACTCGGAGTCTGCTTGCCAAAAGCCACCAAGCACACCCGCAATTTGCTCCGGGGTGAACGGCGTATGCATGGCTACAGCAGTGACGTCGACGACCGGACATGCGGGCAAGCAGGCACTCAGGCGGAGAAAGCCACCGTCTGGACCAGCAGCACTACTAGAGAGATCGGCTCTCACCTCGGCAAAGTGCTCAATGAGGGTGTCGAGACAGGTAGCGGCAAGCATGAAGGCAGGAGCACCATTGCCAACACTCTGCTCAAGCAATGTAACCAAATCGTCACGCTCGAATGGAAAATCCCCGGGCCCATGACCCGTGAGGCTTGAATCGACCCGGGAGTCAAAGGCACTGTGGTGGGTCCGACACGGGGTAGGAACAGGTCTTGCCCTACCGGCAACAGACCTAGCAAGGTCGCGTTGTGACGGTCGAGCAACAAGCTCATCAGGTAGCTTGTGTCGTATGTGGGTGCCCTGCATACCAGAGGCCAGCTGGATGCAGGCAAGGAAAATGACATGCAAAACCGGGCCCCTGCCGAGACCACGAACAATGCTTGTGTCATAATGAAGGCGTCGGACAGTTGGGGCCCAGGAGTCAGGAAGGCAGGCATCAACTGCGCCGGTAGTAACGGCACGGATTGCAACAAGTCCGATCCGGCTACCGCCGATGACAAGAAGAAGGATAATGCACCATTGGCTTTCAACAAATGCACAAAACAGCCCAAGAACGAACCGTGCGGCATCAAAAAGCTCCTGTGCATCTTGTTCAGGAGCCCCTGCAGGAGCCCCAGAGTATAGGTCATGAAAGGCAGGGCGTCCTATGTGACCGGCACGATTGATGCCGAAGAGAGCGAAAGTGGTGAGGCCTGGCAACAGCCAAGACGGGTTATGTCCGCGAGCCTTTGTTCCTCTGTATCCACAAGAGACACGGTCGTGAGCAAAGGCACCACCAGAGGGAACTGCAAAGGCGGCACGAGGACCACTACTACCGTGCCCACCTGTGGTACCAAAATCAATGGCGGCGGTGCCACCTGAACCTGACGCCCCACCAAGGCTCGTAGTCCGTGCGGGCACATCACGATTGCACGGTCCATGAGGTGCCCTTCGGTCCGGCGATCCGGGTTCGGCAGTGTCGTGAGGGACCCCATGTGACGGAGGTCCTTCACCGACAAGGTGTATGTAAGCCCGGGATCTCAAGACATGCCCTGGACCAAATGTGCTGTCCCTAACTGCATCTCCAAACGGTTCAACAATGACTGTCCAACCGGTAGGGACAAGTTCACACAGACAGGTCTGCAAATGGTCAAGGTTGGTGGTCCCACGTTCGACAACGATACAGAACCACCCCGCTAGCACGGCTCTAGCGTCAACAAGGACTAAAGTGTCCCCGTTGTGTACATTGAGTGCCCTGATGTCATGCACAGCAACTATCGCCCGACAAGGCCAACCCAAAAAGGAGACGTCAACCTGTCTGGGCTGGGAGGGCAATGCCAGAATTCTGGAGGCGGGGATGCCTGTACACACGGCAAGGTCTTGGGTGTAAAAAGGGGCCCTCGCAGGGAGGAGACGGAAGAGATGCTGTCTATCAGGGGTACTAACCCAGTAGAAATCCCCCTCTCCCTCCCACGGAAAGGCAGGCTCGCGTCGGCGTCGCCACGGCAGATGAGTGCTCAGCATGTCTGCCAGGGCGGCCCGATCTCTTGTGGGCAGACCCGGGGAACGGATGCAGATGCACATACCTGTATACGTCTGGACCTCCTCTCCGTCCTGCATGCACGACAAAGAGTCGCCTACATAAACCTGGACGTCTGAGTCGAGACCAAGATTGGCGAGATAGAGAACAGCGTAAATGTCGATCCATGGTGGGGCCCTAGCACAGAAGATGCGTGCATCAACAGTCCTGGAATCGAGACAAACAAGGCAGCCTGCAAACCAACACGGCATAGAAAGGAAAAGAGCCCAGCCGATCTCAGGTTGTGGCTCAACCGCAACTAGCCGAGGAAAGACATGGGCAAGCCCTTCGTCTCTAGCACCTTGCACCTCGCCTAAGAATAGAGGAAGTGGGCATGGCACCTGTACCTCAACCTGGAATCTGTCCGGCGTAAAATCAGGGGCAAGGACGGCGCACTCAATGCCACAGAGAACACATGGGTCAACGTCAGCTGATGCCGCATCTCCAAGCGGAGGATCGTCGTGCTCCAGGCTGCCTCTCGGTGAGCGGCTGCGATCAGTTGCAGGAGTATGAGGCAGAAAAGAGGGCGAAGGTGCCGCATCATCACTGTCACATGCAGCGGTAGTGTCATGGAGATCGGCATCCTGGTCTGACTCCTCGTCCTCACTGGTCGGCTGGTCATGTGGGAGGACAAATTGAACGACGAGGTGTCTGCCATCCTCAATGCGAAGATAAGTGCCATCCTCTGCCTCGAATGAGGGGGCCCCTTGCACAGAGACATGGTAGCCATCAGGACACGTATTGGCATAGTCATCAACGAATTGTTGCAAGTCGAGAAGCTCACTCTCTAGAAGACGCCATGTGATGCCCTGAAAAACAGGCCGTTGGTCAATAACAAGGACCTTAGGGCCAGCTGGGTCCCGTCGATGTCTCGGGATGAGGGTAGACGCGACAAAGACAGTCTCAGAGGTCCAGCCCAGGCTAAAAATATCCCGAATCGGAGGGAGCGCTGGCACAATTGTGAGATCTGCTGGATCTTTCTCAAGGGCTTCCGCAATAGCAGCCCTAGTCAGGCGGCCACCTTCTTCAACTTCAACTCGTGCCGGCAGGTCGTCAGACAGGATCCGGTACGCGGTGGCAACACTGAATGGGAGTACTATATTGGCATCCCAACCTTGTGTGGACTGCAACATGGCACGAAAGTCCCAATAGACAGGCGGGGCAGCGCCAACAGGAGAAATGGTGACCAAGGCGCCCTCAAAGAGAGACGCGTTTTGGCCATGTTGTAAAGGGGTGTCTTGCGACGGTACCCAAACATCAACAAGAGATCCGCTGTCAATGCCAGCATTGTCAAGGATGTCCTCTCTCGTGGCAGTAAAAGGAACAAGAGCAGCATGCATGACGCCACTAAAGGCGCGACAGTCAAACAAGACTGGGAGTGCTGGTGTTGGCCAAGCTGGGACCGCAAGGAAGACAGCATACTGTCGCGGCTGCGGCATGACGGCGAGAATCCTGGGGTAAATTTCCCGTTGCCGTGGGAATCGTGCAGACTGCACCTGGGAAGTCACAAGGCCGGGACCCGCCGGCACACGGAAAGGAACAGCAACAACATCCGGTCTCGTCTCAATTGCAAGAACGGCAAAAGTGCCGTTAACCAGGCCGTCAACTTGGTCATCAGCCGCAGGTGTAGGCTCTTGCACTTGAAAGGGCGGGTCATCAACACGCCCTGGAGTGTGGTCAGGCTGGAAGTGCCGCAACAAGCGAAGGACCGGGTTCTCCTGCCGAGTGACCCCTTCGAGTGCGGCAGCAAGGCTCGGAGAGTCAGGGATCCGATGCCGGCGATATGGATGGCACACGATCGACTTACCGGCTCGACAGTGCAGAAAATGACAGAGGAGAAGCTGAGCACTCACAAGGAGGAGGACAGAGGTATAGCACCACCTGCTTTCAACAAAAGCATGTCTGATAAAAGTGTTGCCACACATGACATCTACGACCCCTAGGAGTAGCAAAGACAGCAGCCCTTCTTCTCGTTGGCTAACCCAGGCAGAAGGCGGCTGCGATGGCAGGGGCAGTTCAGGTCCAGGCAGAGCCGAAAAGTTGTGATGACCATGCTGTGCCTCCTCACTGGAGGGCCCCCAGGCGGCAGCAGTCTGGACCAAAAGACCGCTGATAAGCACAATAGAGAGGAGTGGAACAGGGCCGCGCCGCTGGTAGGGATGCACGCGGGTGTCGCCAATCCGAATTTCCCAAGCAGAGCTGTATCTCCAAGGGAGTCCAACAGCACCTGCATAGTATTGAAGAAAGTCAAAACTGTCAGCGCCATGAAGGGGTTGGTCCGAAGACGCACAGGTAAAGACACCTTCACCAGAGGAGACAGCAGAGGTGGGAACCTCGTCCCAAACGTGCCCAAAAGCACGGTCACAGGGGCGAAAGCCCCAACAGGCGTCAAGTACACCTTGAACAGAAGAAACCGCGCAGTGGCCCAAGACACATGTGGCAGGAAGGAAGTAATGTGAGTCTCTGTCTGGCAGCTGGCAAAGACGGCAGGTTCCTGCAGGCTCGGAACAACTTGGAGAGAGGGAGCATATGCAACCTCAGCACAACTGTGTGTCTGGTCACCTTCTAAAGCATGGGGGCCTTCCCGTTGTCTGCGCGGAGACCGGCTTCGAGAAGCAGAATGGTCTCCAGGGCAATCAACTGCAGGCACATTACTGCCGGGTGTGTCTGGTGAAGGCCGATCAGCACCGCTGCTCGGGTCAGAGTCTGAATCCTCAGGTTCGCACCCGCTGTCGTGACCTCCTCGACTACTACCAAGATAGTCCTCAACGAAGCTTAGGACGAGCAGGGTTCCATGAGGAACGTGCAGCAAGGTGCGCTGTCCACGGAGCTCGGGGTGTCCGCCATTGATGTTGATGGCATAACCCTCTGGTGCGAAAGCCTGGTATTCCTGAGTTAGACTATCAAAGTCAACAACCCCTTGTGCCGCAAGCCTCCAGGAGAAATCTCGCAACAGCAACCTCTCGTCAAGGATGATGACATGCTGACGGTGCAGGGGGAGTCCAGGAGGGATAGGCAGTCTGGAGATAGACTCCGTAGAAACCAGGATAGCAGCACAGTCCCGCCCTTTGTAGGACGCGTCGCGGACACGTGGAACCGACGGGCAAACTGTGGTTTGCTCAATGTTGTACAGGAACGCCCTAGAGGTCGCTTCTTTGAGCTCGGCAGACGAATCTGAGTCCCTAACCGCAATCGGCAGCAGTTTATGACCTGCGTCAGAAAGAGTCCAGAAAGCCGTATCCTGGATCCCTGGATAGACGGGGCATGGAATGGTCCACTGTCGCCCAACGACAAGCAGGTCTTCAATTCTAAGTGCAACGGGCGTCTGCGCACCAGCAGGTAAGATCCTGATAAGGGAGCCCCGATATATGCGGTAGAGCTGGTCAGGTGTCATGTCCGTACCATATAGCAGTACCTGCATTCCAGGACGATCAGCGACCTCAGCCTGCAATAACAAGGAAGAACGCTTGCAGTGACAGGGGAGGGTCAAGGCAAAGATTCTCCCATCAACTTGGCGTGCGTCGACAAGGATGACACTGCCCTGGTCATCCCATTCTGGCATCGCAAGTAGCGCAACAAACCCACAGTCAGGTTGTGGGCCAACAGGAGTGAGGCTATCAAAAAACACAGAGGCTGCACTGTCCCTGGCCGAGGAGACTTCAGAAAGGATGTCCCCCAGAGCCCCAGGCAAACGCAGGGCAAGCTGAACAACCTCATGTGCATATCGCGGCGAGAACAGGAGAAAGCCTACCTGAACAATCTCGCCCTGTTCGTCCTCAGCAACAACCTCCTCAGCAAGGTCAAGCGCGAAGTGCGCAGTAGGACCGTCCTCTGAATGTCTATCGAAACGGGTAGGCAAGTGCGCAATACCCCGTGCCTGTCCGACATGTGCATGTCCCGGCGCTATGGGGCTGGAAGAGGGCCCCGAAGGTTCAGGAACAGGCGCAGCAGCTGCATCGAGAGGCGCCCGTCCTGGGCGGAGAAAGATCGCGACAGTGCACTCATGAGTCAGATAGACTCGCCCTTTCACAAACGGAACCCCGTACGGGACTGGTTGGAAGCCGGGAGGAGCCCTCACAGCGAGAAACCGGACTATCCTGTCAAACTCAAACCATCCCGGGCTGCACACAAGCATGGACGGCTCAGCACCAGCACTTCGGGGATCGAGGAAGGCTATAGCTGCATACTCCTTGACATGACTGCCAGAAGCCGGCCGTGGTTCTCCTGCTGCAACCCCGTGAATGCGGCGCCCATGACGCAAAGTGCCAAGAAGTGGGCTGTCATGCCTTGCAAAACCAAACGACAGCTCCTCCGGCTCATTTTGCGTGGACTCAGCAAGAGCCCTTAACAAACCTTCATGGCTGTCGGCGCAGCAGACAGGGGTGCGGGTAACATGACTGCGAAGGAAGAGCCAGCGTTCGGCAGTGTCAGTCTCAAAGGCAGGAACGACGTCCCGGTCCCCCCAGTATCCGTAGTGGGTGAGCTTTGCTCGGAGTGTGGGGGAGTCGCCGACAGAAGTGCCCTCCGGGACAAATCGAAAAACGTCACCATTGAACGCGGTAACAAAGTCTTGTGGTTCAAGTGGTTTGGCCTGCTTTGGTGCGAAGACGTGCCACTGTCCTGAGACATGTATGCCAGCAATGGTAGCAAGGTGAGCCCATGTGACATGGCTCCAGTTGCACACAGCATACGCGGGACCCCCACATCGGGAAAAGTCCAGGACATAGACAACCTTACCGAGATGGGCAGCCCAATCTGGCACAAGAACGAACGAGGCGAAAGGGCAGAGTGCTTGTGGCCTTAGAGCGGCAATCTGCGAGCATGCGACATCTCCCTCCTGTTTCACGAAGCAGCTGACAACGGCTTCGTGAAAGGTTGCAGCAGATGTGGGGAGTTCGTGGTGCACAGTAAAGAAGGTAGATGGGAAGTCGGCCTTAAGAACCGCACATCGCAACGGAAAGATCTCCGGCTCCAGGCTAAGGGCCTCACAAACAATCTCTGAGACAGGGGTGTAGCCCACATCATCCGACACAGCATCACCTAGACGGGACTCAGGACGGCATGGCTCGGGAGGAAGGGGTTCTGGAAGAACCTGCGCAATTTGTTGTGCAACGGAAAGAGCCTCAAAGAGGTCACCAGGGGCAGCCCATATGCATGTCGGGAGAGTGCCCAGGCAACACACACAGAGCCAGGACAACCAAAAGGCGCCTATGCCTGATACCTTGCAAGTACCCTTCCGCTGACTAAAGTTACCACAGTGTGCGGCGGAGGGCCGATTCTCAGAACGGCCTCGGCTGTGTGTGTCACACTGCGGTTTTCCCCAGTTTAAAACCGGATGGCAGCATCCGCCAATTGCAGCAAGAGGGCGAAGCAACGGGACTCCAATGGCCGGAGTGGCTGCCAAACAAACACATCCCAATGGCGACTTTTTGAAGCCAAGCTGTAAAAAGAGCAGTCTGGCCAGAGCCGTCAAAACCGCAAGGAGCCAAAGGATCCAAAGCGAAACTGCTTGCTGCTCAAGCCATAAAAGGTGGCGAGCGAGACGCGAGGCATGGCAAGCGGCAAACGTGACTTCAAGAGTGGAGGACGTCCCCGAGCCACCGATACGTCTCTTAGGCCCCACCTTGAAGTCAAGCGAATGTCGCACACGGGTACCCCAATAAGAGGGACCTAAACCAAAACTAGGGGGGTGCGGAGAGAAAACCCCCTGGCAAATCAAGACCATTGCCAAAATGGCAGGAGGGGCTCTGTGCGTGAGCCTTTGAACGGCAGAGGGTGATGGAAGTCCAAGCCTGTGCGGAAAGAGAGGACTTGGCAGGTCAGGGAGGACGTACCACAAGCCGGGGGAGGCACAAAACCAGTGTCCCCCCAACTGTAGATTAGGACTGCAGCAAGCAACCCTGTCCAAAACCCAAGGACAAGAGAACTCAACTGCAGTGTAGGATCGGCCGCCTTTACAAGAGGAAGAAAGGTGAGACCGAAGGGCCCCTATAGCAGCGGGATCAACAGTCCATGACGAGTAGCATTGCCCAAGGTGAAGCTCGCCACGGGAATGAAGTGTGCGGACCCATCCCACACAATCAGTCCCTAGGCTTGGTCTCCCAAGGCTGCGGCACCCGTCCGGACGGTGACCCTGCTCGCCGGGGCCCTTCCTAACAGCTACGACATGCCTTGGAGGTCTCCCGCGGCAGGTCTTGGCGGCATGGCTTCGTCGTCTGAATCGTCGTTGTAGATCAAAGCCTCTGTGGGGCGTCTCGGATCCCTGCCGAAAGGATACAAGGCAGAGCTCTCTCTGGCGCGGGCAGCATCCAGCTTGCTCCCCAGGGATGCCCTCTGGGACGTAGTAGCCACAGGCCCATGCGGTGAAGCAGTGGCTGACTTGATACCCTCCCTTGTCGGTCTCTCGCTGCTGGGCAAACGATGCCCGCCATCTTTCCTCACCGGTGGGCAAGGGGAATCCTTGCGTTCCGACCCACCTTCCAGGCCCGGCGGCGCCTTTTCCACAAGCTCCCTGTTCGGGCTCACTGTCTTGGCCGGTGCCTTGGCAGGCTGAGGGGACGCCTGGCTGAAAGGATCCGGAGGAAGTTCGCCAGGTCCTCGAACAGGTGACACAGCCGAGTATCCAGGACAAAGTCGTGCGTCTGCAGCAGCAGGATGCCCACTGCGCTCCGGTCGACCATAGTGGTTGGCCTCCAGTGCCCGCTGCATGATCGATTGGGCGTCCTCGGTCTCTCGGTGCTCCTGTCGCCAAGTACGGACCATCTGGTCCCACTCCACCTCCCTCGGATGTGGTGCCCCGATCGGCACCCCCGATCTGGCCTTCACCGCCATGTCGACTAGTTGCTCCCGCGCAACTTCTTGTGTGGCCAGGGCTGTCTCGAGGTCCGCCGTGAGCTTGCTCATGTCCTTGGAGTGGCGGGTCTCTTCCGCAAGCCAGGCCTTCTTCATGGACTCCTGGTATTGTACCCACAACTGCTGTTTGCGCTCCTTGGCAGCGGTAAGAGTGCGAACTCTTTGCTCGGCTCTCCGCGTCAGATTGATGCAATCTTGTACAGCCTGTGTCACCGAGCCCTCCGCTCCCGAAGCAGATTGCTGGGACGTCTGATCCGCCGCCTTGGTGGTGCTCGAGAGTGCCTTCGCAGAGGGGTCCTGAAGAGACCTGTCGCTCCCACTTGTCCCATTTGGAGGGTGATCCCCAGGCACCATCCCAAAAACGCCAGCTGGTGCCAGCTCCTGAAGATGCAGCCGATCCTCTGCCGTTTTTCCATGGCGCCTTCGGGGGCATCCCGCAGCGAGAGAGGTACTTGGGCTGACTGTGATGGTTCCGCAGGAGACGCAAGTCGCGGAAAGGAGGAACCCGACCCTCGGCACGGGCCCTCCAAATGCGCTTCCGCGCTTTAGCACGCGCACCTCTCTGGGCGCGATGCCACCCGGGACTTCTAGGAGCCACGGTCGAAGCGAGCTTTTGCTCTGGGGTTTCAGCAATCCGCCCTGTGCGGTCTTCTGAGCCCTACATACATACATACATACATACATACATACATACATACATACATACATACATACATACACACATATGTATATATATATATATATACACGTATATATATATATATATATGTCGAAAATGTGCATCCATCTTCCAAGCATGGTCTGAGTACTCTTGCTATCAACCCACTGCGGCGTCTGTGCCGCGCCTTGATTTGGGCTTTCAAGGCGCCGCATGTGGCTTGGCTCTCTTAGGGTTTAGGGTTTAGGGTTTAGGGTTTAGGGTTTAGGGTTTAGGGTCTAGGGTCTAGGGTCATTGCCAGCCTACCTTCGTGGTGCGAACTGTGGCAGATGCGGCCTTGTCCAAGAAGATTTGCATGTCACGTGAGGCGTTGACGCTTGGATCTGAAGATGTCTCCTCGAGGAGCTTCGGGTAAATGAACGCTCAGAGGGAGTTCCTTAAGGACGAAATGATCCCCAAAAGGATTTCAGGCTCATATACTATATTGGGATTTATAGTATAAGGGTATAGGGCCCCTACTTATCAGGGTCATTTGGTCCCCAAGGTTTCTGTTCAGGAATTCACTTCAGTCTTGAAGGCTTCGGTACTGGAACAAGAGCTAGGCCAGCTTCTAGCTTTTAGAGTTGGGGTTTCGAGCTCACGCGTAAATTGCTTACAATACAGACGCTTCTGGGTTTTTGGAGGTTTGGGGGTGGGGAGCCGCGCACAGACACACCGGATGACCCAGCAAACAGGTCCTGCTTCTTCGAATTCTGTCTCTCTGTGTAGATGACGAGCATGTACCTCAGTTTGCTTTGCCTCAATCTCCTATCACGCGGGATGATCACCTGCAGAAAAATCTAGGCAAAAGGACGCGAGGCCACTTCGTCAGGTGTCACGGACCCATCGGCTTCGAATTCTGACATTCAACACCGCAAGACCTATCATCACGTCTTTCGATCGTCAAGCTACAGCTGTTGCTTCTGTGAAGTGCTTGAGGCTGCAGCAAACCAGCCACCTCGTCTTCAAACTTAAACCCTGAACCAATAATCCTCACCCCGAAGCTTCCTGTTGGCCAGCGGCAGTGCGATCAGCACAAAGGTCAACATGATCAGCGCCATCCCAAGTCCTATTGACAGCAGAAGACTCAGTTCAGGGCAGCTCACTACATAGTATAGACCATCATGCCCTACCCCTTTTTGGGGCTACCTACTTGTTTATAGAGACGTAACCCATGGGGACGCAATCGATAAGTCGATGCGCAAACTACGCACATTACTGGTGCTAGCTAATCGAGCAGGAGCTCTTGTTGCAGTGAATCAGGGCGGTGCGTTGACCGTCCCATCATGCGAAGGCCCCTGCTGCTAAGAACTGTTCAATGCTGTAGTCTTCCGAAAATTGCGGCCGCAGAATGTGGTGAATCAGGGATCTACGTCGTACCTGTACAAGCTGCGCAAAATCCTCATAAAACCTCATAACACATACGAATGACTCAAAGCTTTCCAGCCTGTCCGCTCCAGCTTGCCGCGCACGACATTCAGACGGTATCCCCGGCTACGTGCGCCGTCGATTGCCAGGCGGCGCAGGTAGTCCACGCCCATGAACCTTAAGTTTCCAAGGGGCGAGCGTGAGAATGCCGCAAGTGACAACATATGAAACGGTGGCAGTTTAATGTAGAGGCCTTAATAATTAGAATACTGTTTTGGGGTTCCTTGTTAAAGTATAGTATAAGATACCCCAAACCCGGTTGAAAATAATTAAGGCCACTACCTTTATGCTATGACTGGACAGTAGAACCTGGATAGCTAGAGTTGAAGATGGTCATGTCGCATGCATCATGCCATGTGATACTCTGATGAAACTGTGGCAGTTCATGACCGGAAGATTAAACCTGCCATGCCCTTTACATGGAGCCCCAGAAGCGATGACTAGCTGTAAGGAAGACCAGGCACACGAGGCTTGCAAAAATGGCCGTGATGGAAATGGCGATGCTGGTGAGCAGGAGGAAGTTGGGCGCCGACCAGTTGGCCCTCGGCTGGCTGGTGGAGACGATCCTGGCCAGCAGCCAAACTCAGCTTGGGTACGGAATGGAGAATCCGGAAAGATTGACTCGGATCTTGGAAGGTCTTGAATTTAGTTCTATGACTATAATGGCTATGACTATAATGTACTATAACACACAGGCAACGCCAAGGAGAAAAAGGTTCAGGTCCCGATCGCGCGATCCCACCGGCCTGGCAACCACGATCTTCTGGAAGCCCACGAAGCCAAGGATGCCCGCTGCGTGGCTTGAGAGCGATGCAAAGAGCGTGGTCAAGGTGTACCATGTCGGTGGTGTCCACTTGACGCCATCAGATTCTTAGCAACCAGAAGATTCAGGTACCAGGTCTTATGTAGCACGCTCTTTGGAACAGGGTTGGCTTCTTGCGGATACAGGTAAGTCTGTGCGCCTGACACCTAGGAACAGCGGTTTGTGAACAACTGCCTCACAATATCACGAGGTCGCATGTCTCCGAATCGTGCACCGATTTGAATCGATCGTTGGCGCTGTAATGATGCACACACATGTGTCTGAACATCTGCATATGTCTTTAGTTCTATGCGGTGGTAAACATGCTACCTGAATGACCCTGCGCAGCATGGCTTGGCATATTCTCTGCAAGAGAGTCGCTTGCTTCGGTATCTCAACGTGGGCCGTGTGGGAGTTTCACATATTGAAACCCAGCTCTCAAGGTTGCAGGTCCCGTGGATCGAAGAAAGCTTCGGTGATGTTGTAGCAATGATGGCGGAGCTCACAGGTATCGTTACAGTCTATGCTCCAAGGCTCTCTCCGCAACTGTCCCAAACATGCCTGCAAACTTCCCGGTTGAGCCAAGGAACCGACCTCCGAAGTGTCGCCCACAATCTGTGCAGGCTGCCAGCATGCCTGGGAAGGAGATTTCGGGGCTGCGAGTGCCGGGATGTTTTTTCCGTCCCACTTGGCTAGGACTATGCCGGCATTGCGAGGTCAGAAAGGAAATCAAGCATGGAACAGATCAGCACGGTCTTACTCATACCCTCCGAGATCTCAAGGCTTCACCACGGAAATCGAGACTAAAGGTGCTGCTTCCTCCTCAGACCTAAAAAGCGCGCGGGGGGTCCAGTTTATAGTTCGTTCAGCTGTCCCCATAAGAAGCTGACCCAACATGTGCAATCCTTCGGATTCTTCCGGCTCAACCCAAAGCGGAGCATGTTTAGGGTTTTGGGGTTTAGCTTTTGAGTTTGGAGTTCCGACCATGAGACGTTGAGGTCGCACTGCGTGGTGGGGCCCTAAACCCGAAACTAAAGGGCTTGTGAATCTCGATGTCAGATGGCACGATGGGACCATTAGTGTCTGCCGAAAGCCGCAACAAAAATACGTGAACCCCAAACCGAAGCCCTAAAGCCTAAACCCTAAACCCTAGCCATCCCGAAACCGAATTCGGGGATTTGGGGCGGTCGCTTCAGGCCTCCTTTTTCAGGTGCGGCCAGGGTTCGATGAGCACGACGATTCCAGCAGCCACGAGGAGCCAAACAAGATCCAGGATCCTTGGATCAAAGTGACTAAGCCGGTTACGGCGGTTAGGGTTTAGGGTTTAGGGTTGAGGGTTGAGGGTTTAGGGTTTAGGGTTTAGGGGTAGTTGTCAGAATTATGGTCCCTTTTGGGGTACCCTAAATAATAGGTGCCGTATTATAATAAGGACCAAAAAACAAGGGACCATAATTTTGACAACCACCCAAGTGACTAAGCCGGTTGTGCCGGTTAGGCTACAAAGAGTGACTAAGCCGGCAGGCTAGAAGTAGAGCAACAACTACCCTAGCTATTGCCTCCTGGGGCTTCAGAGGTCATCCCATCACGAATGGAGGCACGCAGCCTGGCTCAACGCTTGCGAATCATGAAGCAAGACGCAGGAGGCCATGTCCGAGAAACTTCTGAAGCCAGCAAATCCTGAAATCCGAAACCGTACACCTGAAGGCGGGCGCCTGAAAGACCAAGCAAACGTTTTTGGGGCTCAGGACAGCATGGTGGTAAATGAGAAGTAATAAGTCGGGATTGCTGCAGGCCCTCCCCCAGCCTTTACACATGTTATCAGTTTTCTTTTTTTTTTTTTACCCTAAACTCAA